TTATAAACCAGATATGTATATAACCTATGTTTTAATGTTTTTATGTTTTAATTGAATTGGCGGTTTGGCGGTTTCTTTTTATTTCGCGCACCCTAGTTTTAGGCTTGCATAAGGCTTGTAAGCCCCCTGAAGGCTACCCGCCATAGGTACAATCAACTCCAAAAAGGCACTATAATTATTCCTTAAACTCACTGCCCAGAACTGAACCACTGTAAATTTAATATGGATGGGTTTCTACTCCAGGACTGTTAATGGATTTCTCCGCTATTACTACCTGCTACCTGCAGAGTGCATTCTCAGCCATCATCCTTCCTTGCCGTAATAAAAATAAATAAATACTAATATGCAAGGATTTAAATGATTGAAAAACTATAAAATAGCTTTTAGTTTCGACTAAGCATATTTATACCTAGTCAGCATTTTATTTCATTTTACTCGTCGTTGTGGGACGCGACGAAGAGTAAAGATAAGGGGTAATACTATTAAGATAGATATACTGGTTTAGCGCCGTAGACGGTTATAATATACAGGGCTATTAGGTACTTGGGCAAGGAAGGTAGGCGCTAAAGGGCTCTATAACTTTAGGTTACAATTAGAAGACTATGTCCACTCAGGACTATATTACAGCGGAGGATAGTGTTGAGGGATATCTATAATAATGTCTCCCTAAAAATGAGCGCAATACAGACCCTCCTGTATTAAGCCCTGGAGGTTGATAGGACGGATTATATAACCCTGAGAGGTACGCTAAAATTATTAATATGCGGGCATTGCGTCAACTATAAATAGGTATCTATTACCTGTAGTTGACTGCTAATCTAAGAAATTACAGCGTACCGCCTAGGGTTTAGCATCGGGTACTAGATACAGGGCGTAAGCCCTGTATTACAACGGCTACCACTATGGCCAAGGCCACACATATAGCTGCACATGAGAGTGCCATCAGAAAAGTGTCTTGTAAGCCAGCCATATACGATACCAGCACGGAATGAATTTGGTCCCCGAAGATTTTTCTGATATTCAAAGCGCCTTGCTCCAAAACCTCGATGCCACTGATGTTCGGAGCGATTTCTTCAAGCTTCTGGAGGAGCCCATTCGAAAAGATGGCTTGGCCAGCTGACACGAAGATGGCTCCGCCCAAAAGCTCGAAGAATAAAGTCATACCAACCATTGTCGGGATATCGCTAAGCGGAAGATCCTGCTGGTTCGCAACTAGCGGTACTTCGAGGGCAATGCCAACACCCATGCCTAGAATTACTTGATATCCGATCCACTTGCTGGCGGGAGAGTCGATGTCGAGAGTGTAGATTAATGACGCTCCTACTGTAGTCAATATAGCCCCGAATATCATAGGTAGTATCCAATTAGACGTTCTCCCCATGAATGATGTCGATACGACGGTCATCATAGATACAGCTAGCACCAGCGGTATGTTTCTAATGCCACTCTCTTCCGCATTGACCCCCTGGATGGCTTGAAAGTAAATCGGTAGGAAGTATACCTGCGTATCTAGAGGTCAGCATTACTTGCTAAAAACACCCTTCTAAAGGTCGCTTACCAATGGAAAGTTCGCCCCCGACAACAAGAAAGTATACAAGCAATTCACCCACACCGGCCATTTTTTCAGCAGCCGCAGGGGCACCAAAGCACGATTGCCATGGGATCTCTCGTTTAAAACGAAGGCCACGACAAGCACGCCAAAAAGAACTAGAATAGCCACCACCTGTCCCGAGTCCCATGGCTTGCTGACGCCTCCCCATTGCATAGCAAGCAAGAAACAAGTCGTGGCCGCGGTAATTAACGCCGTCCCTAGCAGATCCACATCAAACACAACACCGGGCCACCTAAGGGGACTTTGCAAATCGGTAGCGGCCTTGGGGGTCCGGAAGACGAGACAAAAAGCCAGCACCGCACCAAAGCCGACGGGCAGGTTAATCGCAAAGACCCAGCGCCAGGAGAGCTGACTAGTAAGGGCGCCGCCAACAAGCGGTCCAACCACCCCCGCAAAACTGAACGTCGCGCCCACAATACCAATACAAGTAGGTCGTGCATGCGTCGTCGCAACAAACGAAATAATCACAAAAACACCCCCCAAAATCCCCGCCGCCCCGACCCCCGCGACTGCCCGGCCGGCGATGACCGTCGGGCTGTTCTGCGCTAAAGCGGAGACTAGACAGCCGAGCTCGAAGATGAGGATGGAGGAGAGGAAGGCGGATTTCAGGTCCACGATGCCGTAGACCTTACCCCAGGTCGATTGGAAGGTCGCTTGGGTGAGGAGGAAGGCGGAGCCGTACCAGCCCACTTGGTCGAGGGAGCGGAACTCGTCGGTTATTGTGGGGACGGCGGTCGCGACTATGGTCATGTCGAGGGCGGCGAGGAAACAGCTGATCATGAGGGTGGCTAGGATGAGGGTGAATTTGAGGCCGTGGGGGAGGGGCTCGGTGGCGTTGGCATCGTTTGGGGTCTGGACGGGTTGTTGGGAGGCGTCGGCGTGCCTGAGTGGGCTGGTTTCGTCGTCCATTTTCGAGGGGTCTTATGGCGAGGTCGTAGTGGGAGAGGGTATACTAGAAGGATAAAAAATTAAAAACACAATACTAGGATAATCAAAATAGGGGTTGAAATATTAGTAGTACTCTCAATGGTAGGACGACCTGTCGAGATTAGGTCACGATTGTGGAAGAAAAAAAAATAATTTTACATCCATTTTTTCATCCCTGACAGCGTCGGTACACACATCGGCTACTCACCTAACTACGTAGTACTTAGGATGCAGTAGCCCGTTGTACTCCTACGGTCTAATACGGCCGTACGATTTGAATAGGTGATAAATATACCTCGGCAGCCTGCAGCCGACTGACTCCCTTAATTAAAGTACCTATATCGGTGGTACTTGGTGTTCACGACATACATATTACTAGGCGGCCAGGTGCATATTTAGATTTCGCCTTATAATATCCTTTTCCCATCCCCATCCCCCTCTTCCTTCCTCTGCAGAAATGTTGGTCAGTAAAGGGGCATCGGTGACTTCATCAGCTGTATAATATTCCCCAGAGAGCCTACCCACTGAATTCGTATTGGTTATTTTTTTTTAAAAAAATTATCATTTATTTGCAAAAACGAAACGTCACTTGAGTTACTTATAAAAAAGTAGGAGAAATGTCAAAAAGGAGTTGCACCTGCACCGGGGATCGAACCCGGGTTCCCGGCTTGCTCTGGCTATTAAAGTCGGAGTCCGGTAAGTTAACCACTACTTCATGCAGGCGTTTTATGATCTTGTTTTAAGATGTTGTCACCTCAAAATTTATTGGGATATTTAACCTGAACTTGGGTCCTAATTGAGCAAATTCTGCTCGTAAATTGACTCACCTGACCATTACGGGGCTGGTGATCGTATCATAGTAGTAGGGACAGACGGCCTGTGTTGGGTATTTGAGCTTCCTAAGGAAAGAGCAACTTTACTAATAGATTCAGCGAGTAGTACCGATATTTATATAGGTATATATGTACCTCTACCTATCCTAGACTTATAAGCGGGACTCGGAAAGGATTGGTGAATTACAGTCATAATCTTTCATCTGAAAGTATTAGCTGATGCCACTAAGTATATACCTAGTCTGGTACTTACCTACATATGTGTCGTGATCGCTTCCTAATTTTTTATGTCCAAGGGTTTATGTACGTGAGCATAAAGAAGAGTATTCCTCATAGAAGTAACCGGAAGTAGCTAAGATTCATGTTTGTATCATGCTAAGTATTATTTTCTTTGTCCTCATTAATTCATATAAAACTTGTAGTATATATTCCGTCGTGATTTGGGGCATACGAGGTAACTATCCTAGACGGAACAAACATTGGATGTTGAATTAATGGATCCTTAAGTTGGCCAAATTCGATCATGTCTTCAACAGTCATCACTTTCAACCCAAACGATGACGAGTTACGGGAAGTGCGGACAAAATGCACCAGGGCTTGTGCCGAATATAACGCCCTTGGTGAAAACGTTACTTCTCTAGAAAGAAACAACAAATTCAAAAATATACTTTCACAGGGTGCGTTGCATCACACAGCACCGACAAAAGTACAGACTCCATTCCATATGGACTACGGTCTACATGTATTCATACACGAGACGGCTTCCATCGACTGTTATTGTAGGATCGTTGACACCCCTGTTGCGGACATCAAAATTGGAAAATACGTCAATATAGGGCCAAATGTTTCAATTGTTTCCGCAGCACCTCCCCCTACAAGAATAAATATCAATAATTTAGCTACGGGATATCGTGAACTTGTCGGTAACCCTATCACGATTGGTGACGGTGTTTGGATTGGAGCTTCGGCAGCAATCGGTCCTGGAGTCACTATTGGAGAAGGGGCTGTAATATCAGCAGGAGCGGTAGTATTAGACGATATTCCGGCATACACTGAGGCCCGTGGCAATCCAGCAAAAATTGTTGATATAAGGGAAGCTACCTAGGTAAACGAGCAGTCGAATAGAAAGCTACATCCAATAATACCAAATTTGTCCTTTATTCATACAAGACTCTTTCAGTCTCCAAAATCTTACTAATCATCGTCTTCTAATCGGGGTGGACGTTGTTGACTTAGTTTTAGCTTCCTACTACGACTGTAGATGTCTTCCATTGCCTTGACGTATTTTACAACCTCTTCTTCCGAGTCACCTATGAATACTTAGTTGTCTGTACCAAGCCAAAGGATACGCTGTAGACCTACCTGCATATTCGCTAATTAGGTATACGAATTCGGCCGTTTTCAGAGTGGTGACATCTACAACAGAAGTGCAGATTATATCTATGTAGTAGATTTAGAATCCTTGATATTCATTCCAATATTCAGAGGTTGGGTATGAACTTACATCCAAAGGCGTTCTCGTATTTATCACTGAAGCCCTTCCCCGTGAAATTCCAACGCCAAAGCTGCTCAAACATATTAGATTATATTTACTCAATAATACTTACTCGCCAGATATCATCATAATCTCACATACCATAACATCCAGGCGCACGACAGCATTATGCTGTACGTAAACAAAAAATTTCTGTTCTTCGTGCTCTCCGGCGCTTGTGGCGGAAAGGATTCCACGTAGGGAATTAAAGACAAGTTTCTACAAGCACAGGAGGTTAGGTTGCTGTTTATATCAGTGATTGTGGTTGGTTTACCTTAAAGCCGTCTCTGATGTCCTGTTGGGTGCCAGACGTGCTAAGGTAATCGTCGATCGCTTTAGACACATCTTCAAAAGACTACAAAAGTAAATAACTTCCTTAGTAAGGCAACCCTCATCGTACTTACATTGCCCTTAACTCCAACACTGGCATATCTTGATTTTCGCAATGCACGAAGACCCGGAACCTGGGCCCTTGATACCGACTCCGAATTGAGAAACATCCTAGAAAAATGAAAAATGTCAGCAATGATGAATATTAAATAATCACCAAGAACAGAAATATACGTATTAGATTCCCTACTCAGTTATTTTGGAATCGAATTGATCCAATTTGTGTGCGACTGCTCTCTGGAGAACCTCAAGATCTTGTCTTGTTCGCTGCCTCTCCTGCTCATCAGCGTCAGAGAGCCCGGCATATACTGTTGAAATTGCGGCACCCATGTTAACAAATTTGATTGAGTAATATCAGTGCAATTTTAGGATGGCTTTCTATAAGTCTTTTAAGGAGGAAAGAGCATGGTTAAATACCTTACAGATAACTTAGAATCTCCCTTATGGGTTATGGCTTACAAACTAGTGCCTACCCGCATATCAGAACTATTCAGCTTTCAGCTCGGATCTATCTACTCCTTCCGGGAGCTGCCGCGGTTCCATCATGTCGGGATTCATCACGAGCACTTCAATAATGGTCTAGCCATCGCCTCGTAGATAGTGTGGAGGGTAAAGCTGCAACTAAGTACTAGGTAGGTAGCGGGGCAACCCGGCCTTTCCCGAAACAGGTGAACTGTGGTCTAGACTCACCTTACGCCCTACCCAAAAGTCAACCTCATGGCACCATTTCTCCAGTATATTCTTGATAATTCAATTTAAAACTACAGGAAGCCTACGTAATGTTTTATGGGAATATCGGTATTAAATAAATCATTGCCTACATATCTTTCGTCCGAATGGCTATCGACCATATGCTGGTTTAGTCAGTCTGGCCCTATGGTGATCGGTTGACTACCTACTACACAATCACCTCATATTAATAGAAAAATCTAAGTATGCTCCTAGGTATGTCTCTATATATTTCCAATGTGATTTTCCATAGCGCATCTTCATAAACTGCGTTAAACATCATTAGCCACTGCCTCTGGGTGTTCAAGACCCTAGCTTGTACTACTACCATTTTAGGAAACTGGACCTGATCCGGACCAATGAGAAGAGCCATATTCGTGAAACGTTCGAAACCCTCTCTTGAATCTGATTGGTTCTAGTATCTGTAGAGTGTTCTGCAAGTATTATCATCTCAAGGAAGTCACAATACAATGTTAAACTTTGTTTAATATTACAAGCAATAGAGACTGTAACTTACGGAGAAACTTACTATATAAAATAAACGGAAGGTGTCTTGTCGTTCCCAAGCACCTACCTGGTATGTATTTTATGACCGATGAACTTCAACTACGTTCCGAGGGGTAGAATCTTCCAACTTCTATATATTTCACAAATACTGTTTACGACAGTCAATATCATCATGCCAGGATATTTCTCGATTCTCCTATGGATTATATATCACATATATTAACTTAGCGTCTCTTAAACTTGTCACTCTTTTACGTATTATTGACCTAAGATACCCCCTTTACCGACGACAACTTACCTCCCTGGAGATACACAACGAGGCCCAGGCTAAAACCAGAATCCAATCATACCAAGAGGATACATCTACTCACAGCATGGCAGACCCCGACCCCGGCCCGCCAAAATATTTCTGCGTAGCTTGTGACGAAGAGGTCGAACATGTGCGAATACTACCGTGCGGCTGTTCTTACTGCGAATATTGTTTACGCAGTTTCTTCTCGGTCAACTTAAATTACAGGACGCGCTGGCCACCACAATGCTGCGGATGTGATGTTGGACTGGATGACGTGGCTTGGATAAATGATCCTTACCTACTAGAGGCCTTTCGAGAAGTAGATGAGGAGCTGAATCTGAAGAATCCTCTATATTGCTCCAAGCTACAATGCAGCGCCCTGTTCAGTCAAGAAAAGATGGCGGAGAAAAGCGACGTGGTAACTTGCGATAAATGTGGTACGGCAACTTGCAAGAAATGCAAGCAATCGGCACACGGCCCCGATGTGAAGTGCAAAGAGCCAGATATAGACGAAGCCTTGAGAAAATTGGCAGAGACATACCAGTGGAAGCGTTGCCCCTACTGTGGTAGGATGATTTCTCGAACAGAAGGATGCACACATATATCGTGAGCTTATACCCCATCTTATCAAACGACAACTGCATTTACTTAAACCAATACCGTTGATTATAGAGATAAGTACTGACTAAAGCCCCCGGATTGTGTAGGTGCCCGTGCGGTAGGCACTTCTGTTACCGTTGTGGGGCGCCACTCAGTATCTGCGAATGCCAGGACGGCGCCGGTGTGTTAACCGATGAACAATTTAGAGCAATGATGGGTGCAAATAATGAGGAAAGATATGGGGAGGAATGGGTAAGAGGGGCTTTCCCTGAAGACACGATTCCGCGTGGCCAGGAGAACATTCCACCTCACCAGCGACACGGCCTATATATGCACCCCAACCGCCACCTCCCGACACAAGAATATACTACGCAGCCCCCAAACCATCGCCCTAACCATGGATTTGGAAACCCATTGCGAAGAGAGAGCTTCTCTGCTTTGGATATGCCCAGGCCTCGTCGGATTCCCAACCCACTAAGTATACGTCAAATATTTGGGTTAGCTAATTTCAGAGGGGAGCTCAATAGCGGTATGCCAAATGAAGGAAGTGAACCTCGAAGAGATTCAGGGTCGCCATCCACAAGCCTATCTATGCTTATGGAAAATATAGATATTGGCCACACTAGAGGGGATCCGTTTTCTGCTCAACGGCAAAGGTCTTCTAGGCTTCCCGACCTATATAGGGGATTTCGAGACAGCCTCCGCATACGGCGGGTACTCAACGCAGAAGCTAGTAGAAGACAACAACTTGCGGAAGCAGGGCAACAATCTAGAAGCGGGGGCCCCGAACGACAATGGAGACCAGCGGGGTTATTCCAAGAGAGCCCCGCGACGACTC